ATTTACTTTTTACACCTGTAAGCTATACTACATCTATAAGCTGTATTACACCTGAGCATTTTAGGTTCATATTTACTTTTTACACCTGTAAGCTACGCTACATCTATAAGTTGTATTACACCTGTAAGCTCTACAACAACTGAAGCTGTACTTCATCTTACATGTTGCAGACATGCTCTTAGGAAAGACTAGGCCCTGTGAAGGGCATCGTGTTTGGTAAAGTGTACTGGAAAAGGGGAGAGGGAAAGAGCAATGCTCTGAAGGAGATGGACTGACCCTGTGGTTGTACCAAAGGCCTCAAGCAGAGAAAGAATTGTGAGGCTGAAGCAGGACAGGGCCGCTGTCCTTCTAGCATGCATAATGTCTCTATGTGACAAAACTGACTTCATGGCCCCTAACAACAACAGGAAGCTATACTTAAATTAACTTTATAAAAATTATATTGACTTTGGGTCTTTTTTTTATTTAGACTCCCGGGCATAAAAGTGAGTACTCACATGAAGTCCTTCCGTGAAGCTTTCCTGAGAACACAGGCATCTATATGGCTGGCTCGTTGTATCACAGGCATCAGCATGGCCAGAGCACTGACATCTATGAACAAAAGCACATGACAAGTATTAAGAAACACCAATTCAACTATGACTATCTTTATGACTCATTGAATATATGCACTAGGTGAACTTAACATAGGGGAATATTACATTTGATTGCAATCTCGCTATCCTCGGCATGAATGAACTGCCACTGGCAAGTTCGACTCATGTGATACACTATGCTGGAGACGACAAATTGAAAAGGAATGGCATCGCATCTATTGTCCCGTAAAATTACAAGATCAATCCCAAATTACAACTCTGTCAATGATAGAATAATAGCCCTATGCCAACAAGGAGCACCAGTTAATATAAACAGTATTACAAATTAATATCTCAATAATTAATGCTGAAATACATGATATTTTACCAATTTCTGCAGTCTTAGACTTATCAAACATGCAATCAAGAAGCAGTGGTAATCACTGGGGATTGGAATGTAAACATTGGAAATTAAGAAGAATCAGTCGTTGGAAAATGTGGCCTTTGTGATTAAAAATGATGGTAGAGATGACATAAAGGAATTTTATAAAACCAACAAGCTATTCATTAGAAATACCGATTTTTTTCAAAATAAATGATGACTATACACATGGATTTCGCCAAATGGAATACAGAAGAATCAAATCAGCGGTATCCGTGGACAGACACAATCGAGAGATTCAATATAATCAGTCACAGCACAACCAGGATCAACGATAAAACAGACCTTGTTAAAGGTAAGGTAAAGCTGAAGATAAAAATATTAAATCTGTCAGAGCCAAGCATGAACTTTATTTAGAAACCATCTCAAAAATAATTTTGAAGCATTGAACACTGATGACCAGGTAAGTTCTGTGATGCTCTCAATGGCGTGTTATAAAGCTAGCAAAAGGTCATTTGAAAGACGGGGGAATCTGAAACATACTCTGGAATGTAGAGCAGCAAAAGCAAATAGAAGTGATAAAGTAATTGTTTCAAAGGGTGGCTCAAGAAAAAAAAGTGTTATGCTGAAATGTACAAAGACCTGTGGTTAAAACTAAAAGGGAAGAGCAGCTTTATCAAGCTGAAAAAATTAAAGAAACAATTCAAGCCTTGAGTGGAAAAGGGCAGGATTCTAATAACAAAATATTGAATGATGCAAGGATTCTACAATGTATTGAATGGCACAAACTGTAATGAACGAAGATAGCAGGAATACACACAGTCACTGTATCAAAGAGAATTGGTCAACTTTCAAAGTAGCATATATTCAAACACTGATAACATTGGTTGAAGAAGTTCAAGAGACACTACTGAAGGCTATGGTCGAAAATAAGACTCCAGGCTACAGCTGAGATGTTTCAGCAAACGCATGCAATGCTTGCAGTAGTTAGTCATCTGTGCCAGGAAATGCATCAGACAGCTATTAAGCCAACTGAAGGGAGAGATCAATATTTGTGACCACTCCAAAGAAAGGTGAGCCAAGAAAAGAGAACTGTTCAAATTGTATCATTAATATCATATGTAAGTAAAACGTTGCTATTGATCATTCAAAAACAGTGACAGAAGTACATTGATAAGAAACTGATAAAAATTCTATCCAGATTCAGAAGAGGACCTGGAAAGAGGACTGTTATTAACATGCCACGTGGATCTTGGTTGAAAGCAAAGAAGACCAGAATAAATTTAACCTTTATTTTATTGAAAAAGCATTGGCATAGTGGAATACTAACCAAAAGTCTGCAATTTGAACCCACCAGCTGCTCTGCAGGAAAAAATGGGCCTTTCTGCTCCCATTCACAATAACCAAAATGTAGAATCAATCAAAATGTCTACTAATATTAGAATGAATAAACAAAATGTAATGCTATTCAGGCATATAAAAGAATAAACTTATAATACATACTGCAACATGGATGAATCCTGAAGAAACTATGCAAAGCAAAGGAAGCTAGAAACAGACAAATGTTGTGTAATTCCATTTATATGAAATACATAGAATATATAAAGGCATGGAGACCTAAAGTAGATTCATAAGAGAGGAGAGAGCAATAGGAAATTCTTGCTTAATGAATAGAGTTTCTATTTGGGTAGCTAACAAGGCTTTGGAAATGTTGGTGATGGTTGCATACCATCCTGAATATAATAAATGCCACTATATGTACACTTAAAAATGGTTAACATGGCAAAAGGTATGTTATATCTATTTAATCACAATGCAATCTTTTAAAGTAGAAAAGCTTGAAGACATATATCTGCCTTGCTCTAAAATTATTAAATGCATTTTTAAATAAGCATGGCAAAACCTTGGATTTAAATTTTATAGTTAGTAAAGAAAAGCACAATTCAATTGAAATTTTAGTAGTGAGTCCTACCGCCCACTGATGGTGATTTCTTCCACTGCATAGTATCTGTGCCTGAGGTTGGCAGCAGTCTCAGGTGTATAGTACTGTCCATGGAAATGGAACCTTATCTGTGTGGCTTTTACAAACTCTTGAAGAGATCGGGTGTTATAGAAGTCATTGTAGCCAGGACGATGCTGTGGTTCAGGACTCAGGATGCTAAAAGTAACACTGCCGCGGGAATAGGGAGCGAAACTGTTGATGACAGAAAATGTAAACAATGGTAATCTGTTCATATTTTTGAAAAAATAGCAATCATAACTTTTAGGCATCACTACACAATCTCAGTAACTGCATCAACTTTTCATTCTGGAAACCAAATATAGTCCATGTATCTCAAAAGCAAACAGCATAGAACAATAAGAGTAAGACATTTGAAGACATTTCCCTGAGGAAGTAATGACAATTCTATTAGTATAGATAAGAACTTGCTAAACAATCTGAAAACCAGATTGCAAAGGATCCGTGAGATTGTAAACAAGAGAAGCTTTCAAATATTTTTACAAAGGGTCTTTTTAAAAAGCATAGAAAATGTTATTTTTTATTTCATTTTTCCATATTTTAATGCCCCCTCATGCAAGTACTTTGAACATAACTTCAAATTTAATTTAATGTAGATTCAGGAGAACATCATTGGAGAAGCATTTTGATGGATGAAGGTCTCTCCTGGCCTACTGAACTAGTGTGCATGTAGGTCCCTACTAACCCATGAGTCAACTGAAATTAACGCCCGAATGCCTCAGGAAATAGTCATTTTTATAACATGCATACTTGGAAAGCTGAAGACAGTTGACAGAATCAGGGGTTTCCAATTTTCCATTGTTCCTCATTCCAAAAACACTGCAATTTCTGGCAAAGTATTGCCAGTCCTCCCAATCTGCTTCGTCCTCTTTCTTCCTTTGAATCCGTATCGCTGTTGGTTGTGGACTGAAAAACTGAATGATAATATAGAAGACCTGAAAACAAATAAAGAAATTGGTGCATTTGAATTATGAAATTCAAGTAGGAGGGCTCATTTTCTTATCATTATAAATTAATAGATATGTCTTGGGCATCCATAAACTCCACATACACACAGTGAAAGCTACACATGTTATCAATGTCTAGATTCATAGCAACCCATAGAAGAGAACACTGTCCACTAGAGTTTCCTAGTACACTGTAGTCTTTATGAGAGCCGATCTCTGAGTCATTTTTTTTTCCCCACAGAGAACTACTGGTGGGTTCAAACCACCGACCTTTCCATTAGCAGCCCTCCATTGCACCACCAGACATTATTAGTGAGGTATACAAAGGACGCTGTGTCCTCCTCACTGTCTCTAATTACCTGATACTGTCCATTTTCCAAATCTATAGAAAGAGTTACTCCTTGGTTAAGTTGAGTAATGTTTGTAAATATACGTGAAACCCATGAAGTGCCAAAATCATTATCATTGACAAACGAGAGAGGATGGGCTTCCGAGTTCAGCCTTGACACTCTGTCCTCAGTTGTGTCTTCTGCATCATTAGAAATGCAGAACCGTTGCACCCGGGGGTGAACTCGAGGGTGGCTCCCCGGACAGCGGCACTGGGACTGGACATGCACTCTGGGCAGATCTCCAGAAAACACTTCCAGAATTTCTCTGTGGGAGTGAAGAGGAAGACCGTAAGGACAAGTAGTTCAACAGTGAAGTTCAAAAGTAAGAGAACTTCTGAGAGTTGTTACAACAAATATCATTATTTCAATGTGTTGATGAGAATCCAGTTAGTTTTCATTTATTTGTAAAAAGAAAGTAAAATCAAACTCATTCCTAGCAAGAAGGCTTCAAAAAGTTCATTGGGGGTGGAGGGAGGATGGAATTGAAAGATAATAAAATTTGTCCTTCAATATTTTTTAGCCCTCATCTATTGAAGCCCCCTGTGGGATGTCAAAGCAATAAATTCTTAAATGCTAATTTCAGTTCATCTCTGATTATCAAGAAATGAATTTTAAAATTACAATATTTTATTATGCCTCTTTGTGATAATATTTAAAAAATCACCATTCACTTGAAGTTAACTTAATTTACCATTAAGAGTGAGTGAGACTGTATTGGAATTAATGAGAATCACTAGGGAATTACTGGATAGGACCTCCCGTCCATCCGTGGAAAAGAAGAAAGCAAGAACACATTCTCTTATCTACTTCTCTTGCAGGTGAAGGGACAGATGCCAAGGCCATTTGTCAATGGTTTCCTGTGATTCATCAGAAGGATTTTGGCATCCTAAAATGTTTCAATGGCTTCGGAGCTTGTGGCAGCAGCCAACAGTCAAAAAAGAATGCCAAGTTCAGGCAGATATATTTAATTTTACCATTAAGAATAATATAACTGTTCTAATTCAGAATTTGACATTCTTTGTATAAGCATTCTTCCACACAATACATTTCCAGACATGCCATGTATACCATCACCAGTGACTCAGTCTAACTGGGGATACCAGGTCACTTCTCAGGCCCCAGTGGAGCAACAAAGGAGTCAAACAGCTTTTATATATTTATTTTTCTTACTTAAGCTACATGAAGAGCAGGCAGTCTGATCTTTCTCCCTGGAGCTGCTGGTGCTATGAACCACTTGTGGTTAGCAGGCTAGCCCAGGACCATCGGCTGAAAGATGACCATAGGACAATAAGACTACGGGCAGCAATTCTCTCCAGCATGGTGGAATAGACTTTTATTCAGGAGACACTTAAGTATATAAGCTAATAAGAGATGTTTATAAAGCTCATGGATATGCCACTGACCACAGTCCCATCTCAGGAATAATGCTTCCCAAAGTAACAAAATCTAATACTGATACTTGGAAATTCATTCCATTCATCTAAATCTACCTGGAAGAGGTATGCCTACATGTCTTTTTGATCTTCAATAGGAGTCAACAAGATCAGCTAATACATGTAGGTAATCCATATCTTCAAATCATCAGAAAGAAACTTCACGTTGCTCAATATATTCACTGGAACCATTCTGAACAGAAAGAAAATCCTGGTACCTCTAAGTATCCAGGGAAAATTTCCCACTTATTCTCAAGATGGGGAAATACTTGGTTAAACTTAACCCCCAAATTCAAACCAAACTCATTGCTATTGAGTCCATGCTGACGCATAGCAGCCCTCTGTGGGTTTCCAAGACTGTAACTGACTATGGGAGTAGAAAGGCCAGTCTTTCGAGGAATTGATGGTGGCTTTGAACTGCCAACCACAAAGATCACAGACAAATGTGTAACCACGACACCACCAGGGATCCTCAACCTAAACCCAATCTCTATAATGATGTGTTCACTTGAAATATAAATACATATAAAGAACAACAGCTGTTATTATTCACGCATCTTCTCTCCAAGTCTAATTTTTCAGTCTTTTGAGATGTCCCATATATCAAAGTAATTAATAAATTTTACTTTTCTACATTCTCTAGGAATTATAAATTCAACAAAGCAATTTTTAAAAGCAAATATAGCTGGTTTTCAAGTATAGAAATGACTTCATACAGAATGTCTGAGCAATCTGTGTCAAATTCTATCATTCAACTATCATCCAAAAAATAAGCTGAAAAGGGGGAAAAAATCTTGGGTAAAGATGATTTCATATGATAAAATGTTACCTGATAGGGTAACACTAGTGAATTATAGCTTAGACTAAGCAAAAGCAAACACTGTAAACATTAATTAGGTGATGTTTCCTAACTGCTGTAAAGATGAAAAATGCTGTAATCCTCATGCGACTTTTATTTAAGTAAATTCAGCACTTATCTTTACACTACCCTGGCACATCTGCTTACCTGTTTGTAAGCGCCACTTGGTATAATCGAAAATCTTGCATTCTTCCAACAAACTGGTGTAAACCTGCAAAATACATTCATGTATGTAATTTAAGAACTCTCTGTATACCAAGCAATGGCTCACAAAATTCAAGTGAAATTTCTCAAACTCTGTAAAACCTTACAATGTGTTTCTATCACAGCTCGTTCAGTGCCTTACATGTCTCTGTGCACTTTTCTGACCCTGCACACACCTTAATGATCATGGTCATCTCTGAAGCCATCGCAGGTCTAACCTTCCCGAGAAAACTTGAAGCAGCCTATTTATTGACCTAATCTATGGCCTTTTTCCAGAAGACCCTGCCAAAATAAAATGTATTTTAAAGTTTATAAACCTACTAATCTGGCATTGAATCAACCATAAAGTTGATTGCCATCCACTTTCAATTACAATTTCCAAAGCATTTGCATTGCCAAGGATAAGACTCCTCACCCTGAAATTTGACCTGTTCCAGCTCTCACCTCCAGAGTATCTGTCCTCTCTAAACAGAGAGAGCCTTTTCTACTAGGTCTAACAATGCGGATACATTTTAAAGCTTCTCTGTGCTATTCACATAATTCTTTTTTTAAATCATTTTATTAGGGCCTCATACAACTCTTATCACAATCCATACATACATCAATTGTGTAAAGCACATTTGTACATTCTTTGCCCTCATCATTCTCAAAATATTTGCTCTCCACTTAAGGCCCTGGCATCAGGTCCTCATTTTTCCCCTCCCTCCCCACTCCCCCTCCCTCAAATTATTTTGTCATATCTTGCCCTGTCTGACGTCTCCTTCACCCAGAGAGGAGGTCACATGTAGATCCTTGTAATCGGTTCCCCCTTTCCAACCCACTCTCCCTCTACATTCCCAGTATCGCCACTCACACCGCTGGTCCTG